CGGGGGGGGGGGGTCAACTGTCTCACCGGTTGTCGCCGCTGCGGTGCCAAGCCCGCAATGTTCATCATGGCTCGCTGAAAGTCTGCGGCCGTCAACCCACCGCCACCTGGAAGCAGGAAAAAAAAAAGAAATGCCTAATAATAAACACACCAGGACAGTCAAGACGCCACAAAGGTTTCGCAGATAAAACAGGGTGTAGTAGCAACAGAAGTTCGGGTGTGTACACTGATCGGATGCACGGGCGATGGAACAACGTCCTCGACAGCGGCCGGTCGGAGCGCTCACCTCTTCTGGCTTCCAAGGGTTAGGAAAACCAAGTGTGGCCGTGGCGTTGACGTGACGTAACTCCCTCAACAGTTTAGGGGGGGGGGGAAAGAGAATCTGGTGCTTCGGAGACAGACAGGTACGGGGTACCCGCCGCACGACTTCTTGACTGCTCGATGAAACGGCGGCAGACAGATTTCTTGAGCCATTGGTTACTGAGGGCCCCACCACGTAAGAACCAGGGGATAATGAAATCCAAGCTCAGCCAAGAAGAACACGTAAGCAGTTGACCGTAAGCACAGGTGCTCGGATAAGCGTCCCATACTAAACCCTTTATAATAGTCGCTGTTGGGTTACCCCTGCCGAGGAAATAAGGACCGAGTATTGGGCGAGTAAGAGGTTCCTCGTGTATTCGGAATCTCATCCGGAATAGAGCTCGCTCCAGGAGTGCGCCCGCTACTAGAAGTACCGGATCCGCCGCGTACTTTTTCGAAGCTAGTACGGCGCCGCTTGAGAAATAAACCAACTGTGGCTTGTGGCTCGCTACGGCGTGGGCCGCCTGGCCTTCATGGTGTTGCCGAATCCACAACGAAGTGTCCCGGTCTCAGTGTCGGAGATAGGCATGGATAAGCAACCGGTTGCCTACTCCGAACGGCGACAGTTGAGCCCTTGGAAAACCCAACAATCTAATTCAGGAACCAGTTTCCTCTTCTTCAAGCCTCACACAGTACGTAGCGAGCAAGCCCCGAAATTAGGGAAGGATTTCGCCCGCAACTATTGTGTCGATACCGAAGCAGACATCGCTCAAGAAATTTGCCCGTCTATTGCGACGAGCAGAGGAGGCACTGTTGTGCCAGCCAACCTCATGTCCGTCCATGCATGCCCAATATCGGTTGAGGTATCAAGAAAGCCATGTAGCCAGCGCCAAAACAAATTTCAGAGGCGGAGGATACCACCCGGCGACACTCGATGCCTCTTACGGGCCTGAAGGGACTGCTTTCAGAGGACAGGTTAACCGCAGGTTCTTTCTGTTTCCCTGTGCTAAGAAAGACCTGTGGTTCTCAAAAAGCACGAAAACGTAACACACTACAGGGGTCACCAAGATGTAACTTACGTTTTTCTTTCGGCTTCGCAAACTCTTCTTGATACTTGTTTGAGAGCCTGCCTTACGAGTTACACTCCGTTCTTTTCAGCAAATGCTCAGCGTGTAAACGAAATTGAGTTTCGTTCCGTTTTTGATGAAAACGGCTCAACATGTTGAGATAGAGCGGATAAACCGGATTTCCAAAATATCAACAAAGTACTATATTTCGTCCCCAACCCAAAACTAAAAAACACGCAATGCTGATTCAAAACACACCCAACTATCCCTTATCACCATCGGGAAATACTTCTTTTAGTTTACACGACGATTCTGCCTAATGTACTAGGTTTAGTACGTGAGCATTAATTCCACTAAAAAAAGATAAACGGATGAAGGAATTCAGGAGATTTCAAACGGAAAGCTGTGCTGTGATTGGGGTGCACATGGCCATACGAAAAGGTTACCAGGGTTTCCAAAAACTGTTTCCTGGTGGTGATATAGCGCTTTATCGATATCTTAAGACTGTCCGGTTTATTGGCACTGACTCGGCATACCCAGCTTTTCATGGAATGCCCTCACGTGGATCGACACCGTGCTGATGCTACGGGAGCTTGTTCACAAATACATACCCTCGGCCTCACCCGGGAACAAACCATCCTCGACAACCACCAGTGGCGATCCTGGACAACCAGCGGTGGTCACTGCTGGTTGTCGAGGATGGTTTGTTCATGGGTAAGGCCGAGGGTGGTGCACGTATAGAAAAGCTCCCGTAGAGCCGGGACGGCGTCGACCCACGTACGGGCATTCTGCGCAAAAACAGAAGCGAGACCCAATTTCGTTTACACCTGCGCATCTGCCACAAGGGACAGAGCGCCATTCGTACGGCGGGCTCTCGCAAAAAAAAAAAAAATGCGAACCATAAAAAAAAACGCGAGTTTCATCTTGGCGACCCCTGCAGTATGTACCGCCTTTTGCGGGTAGTTGGTCTGTGACCACGGAAGGCGTCCGCGTCAGATGGGCTAGCCCACAGAAGTGAAGAGCGTAACTGGGCAGATGTCGGAACTATTTTTGATGTAAAGACCACCAACAACAAGTGCTTGGCAAACACATCTGTGTCCGCGTCCCGAGATCACTTCGCGTGCACTCCCGTGGATAGATGGAAGCCTCGGTTGTGACGACTTTACCCAGACAAGTCTCTTAGAGAGTGAAAACCGATCATTTCCGGGGGCATGAAGTGGGAAGGGAGTCATCGGGGTGTGCGTCGTGCTCCACAGCCTCCGTGATCTCATCCCTAGCGAAGATTGGATACCTTCGCAATGGGGCCGGAGGATCGGCATTGCAGTCCCATGCCAGGAGCGTGAATTTCCAAAAGCGGCGTGTACGTTGTATTCTTTTCATCTTCGTCGCTTTCTTTTATCGATATTTTCCATCCGCGCACTTGTTCTCAAGACTTCGACAAAAACAGACCCAACACTAGATCAGACTCCGAACGTACACGATCCAGAATCGCACAAGCCAAACCTAGGCGGGGCACTTCCTTGCTGCACCCGACAACCTCATCACCACAGAACTTGCGAGCATGCCCTAAAAACGAGCACGGCACCGCTCGGCGGGACCCGGTCTGCCCGACCATCCTCAACGACAACGACTTTCGCAGTCGGATTTTGGCATGCTTCATGACCAACGCACGCTCCCACCCGCTAAGGATTCAGCGATACTTTACAAAAACATTTAAAAGTACGAGGCCAACTCTCTCGTAAACGTTCAGCATGTCTTCATCAGAGCGAATGAACATGCTTCTTGTTGCTTCTCAAGATGGACAAGATTTTACAAACTACAAACCGAGCTTGTCAGCCCGTTTTCACAGAACTGCCTCACTGAGCACAGATAGATTTTCGGCCGTGTGGGGCTCTGTCCGAACAATCCACCATCTTTCGGTCTCTTCCAAACCGGAGAGGCTCGTGTTCTTGCAAAGCTCTCGCCGGGGAAGTGAAACCGCCCCCCACGGACGCGTGTGAAGCACTCGCGCAGAGACAAGGATGCCCAACACGAGACATAATCCAATCGCCCGCACCAACACAGACGAACAGACGGACGAACACGTGCTGCCTCTGCGAGCCCCTCCCCCCCCCCTCCCAGGGTACCCTCCCCTCTACTCCTGGCCCTGGCCCCCCGGCCCTTCCTCGGCGGCGGAACCATCTCCCTCTTCGCCCTCTGCTTCCGCCGAGCTTCCCGTCCCCCCCTGCCCCCCGGAGGGGCTGGTCTCACCTGACCCCGCCCCCCCGGAGTCCCCAGCCGCTGCCGCCGCTGCTGGTGTCGCCGCCGCCGCCGCCGCCGCCGCTTCCGCTGCCGGCGCCGCCTCTGCGGCTGTTGTCGCCGGGGCTGCTGACGCTGCCGAGTCTGCCGCTGGCGTGGGGGCAGGCGTGGTAGCACCCGCGCCTGCTGCGGCGGGGGGGAGGGCGCCTGCCGCCTGCGCCTGTTGTTTTGTGAGGGAAGGAGACGAGAGGGAACGGAGATGTTTGGGGTTTATGAGGGAAGGGACGGAAAGCAGACGGGGGGAACAAACGGAGATGTTTTGGGAAACGCGGTACGTCATGTCTACTGATCTGCGGGTACTCTAGGGGTGTGGTGGGGTCCTGAAAGAGAGAACATGTCCGTAAAGCTATGCTCCGCTGTTGTTTTCACATTCTGCGGGGCACCGTCCGTGCTTCTGGAAACAACCTGTATTCTTTGAAGCGGGGACGACTGTTGTAGCCACGTCGGAACCGTCTAGTCGAGAGCTTTCCGAAAACGTACCACAATTCGATGTTGGCTATCTCTTCGTGTTGGGGAATATGAAAACCGGTTCAGCGGGGGTGGTGTCGTAGAAAACGGTACTTTTTGCCTTTGACAGCCTGAGATACCCCAACCAAGCTCAACAAACCTGGTCCACAAAGATGCCTCACCGTCGTTAACTAGGCACCAAGCGCCATACTCCTTCGCCGTAATGCGTTGTACCACAGGCAGGATCATACACACGAAACCGAAAAACCAAATAAAGGTCTCAATTTCGACATGCAACAAGCGAGAGAGGTCGGAACGTTGCTTTCGTTTGATTATTATGTGAAGGCAACAATAACAACATGTCGCAAACAGCTCACCTGCTCCTGAGGGGAGAAGCCCATGTTCTGGAGGATGCTCTGCAAGTTCTGGATGTTTAGACCTTGCTCGCTAGGGTTGCCGCCGGAGCCCGAAGACCCGCCAGGTGCTCCCAACCCGGAGGCGCCTGCCCCTCCTCCCTGCTTGGCAGCACCAGAACATCGAGAGGTTTCAACGTGGGAGAGAGGCGGGATAAAAATTGGGGCGAAACGTAGAGGGCGTGACTCGGCGCAAGTGAGAGGTCACGGACAATAGTGCTTTCACAAGCATGGTAAATAGATGGCAGCATCTACGACGCACCCCTCCGAGTGCTTCTCTTACCCCCCATTTCGGCGCGAGGACATTAACGAGCACAGAAATATAACTGCTTCTCAACCACGGCACGGTGCCGTACAGAGCCGCCCTTGTGCTTGCACTACCAATCTTCAGGACGACGTCCCAAGGTCTAATCTACGAACCCACCAGCCTCCCCAGGAACCGGTGATCACGACTCCCGCCAAAATAGGTCAATCAAACAGGCTTCCTGCCTCACCATGCTCGAAACGAGGCCTTACGTAGGTCTACTGTATGTACCAAACAGGTTTCTTGCGCCTCACCATGCTCAAAACGAGGCCAACATGTAAGACTATGTACCAAACAGGTTACGGCCTCACCATGCTTGAAATGAAGCGATCCTATTTGCCCATGTACCAGCAAGGTTTCCGCCCCACCACGCTCGAAACGAGGCCAATATGTAAGCCTATGTACCAATCAGGTTGCTGCTTCACCATGCTTGAAATGAGGCCATTATGCAGGTCTACTGTATGCACCCAGCAGGTTTCTGCCTTACCATGCTAGAAACGAGGCCAACATGTAAGTCTTGTGTGCCAAACAGGTTGCTGCCTCACCATGCTTGAAACGAGGCCATCCTACATGTCCATGTACCAACAAGGTTCCTGCCCCACCACGCTCGAAAGGAGCTCGGCACACCATGTGTTGCAGTGCTACCAGACACATTTCTGTCACACTCGCTCACCATGCTCGAAAGGAGGCCCATCATGTCTGTGCCGGCGCCACCCCTCGCGGAAGGTGCGTCGTCCGCTGGAGGCGAGTTGGTCAGCTCGTTCACCTTCTTCATATTCTCCTGTACGCCGTCCCGCCACGCACGCCACACAACGCAACGCAAAAAAAAAAACATGTTGGACGCCAAACACTCGCGATACAGGGAAGCCGGCGTTGTCCCAAAAAGTAGTGGTGGGCAACTCCAAGTCCTGTTAGTCCATGCTTCAGGCAAGCAGTGGTAGGCAATGGTCGTGTTAGTCCATGTCGTCAGACAAGTAGTGGTAAACAACGGCCTTGTTGACCCATGGAATCAGACAAGTAGTTGTAAACAATGTCAAGCTCTCTTGGCTTTTGGTCCTGTCATTGGTGTGATTTGCTGACATGACAAAGTCGTGTGCTGGGGACATGGGGTAGCGAACAAAAGCATCAGAGCCCAGTCCACGTGGTACTATTTCCCTACTACGACAAAACGCGGTGCAACTTTCGGCGCCACTGACAGCAGCAATAAAACATGACAAGACGTGGCAGGAAAGGAGCAGTCGAAATTTCCGGATACACGCACCTTGACCTTGTTTGACACCATTAAGAAGCGGCAGGACCACACGGTTAGGGTTGCCGGTTACGGTTCAGGTAATGCCGGTTGCACGCATGCATGCCTACCTCATCCTTGTCCGAGTCTTTGTCCTGCATCCAGTAGAAGAAGCGCCGGTTGCCGGCGATCTCCATGAGGTACACCCTCTCGCCCTCTCGCCCGGTGTCGACCTTCTTGTACACTGCCTCCTCGGGGAGAATGATGATGTCCTACGCACAGAGCAAAACGACATGACATCACACCAAATTGTATGCATACCATGACAGGCGAAGGAGCGATGGGGATACACGCGCGAGGACAAGGAGCGAAAACAAAAAACAAAGGATGTTCCTTCCGGTTAGCAAGACATTAGAAGCTGACCGAGGACTACCACTCTTTTTGTTCTTAAAAAAACAAGGATCAATGTGACAGTCCCAATGGCCCTGTATGGGTTTCTAGACTACAATCTCTGTCGCTGACTTCTCTTGACTTGCGAACACCCTTCGGGTCCATATTATTTGAGCATACCTTTTGGGAAAGTTAGCCTGTGACCACGGGAATCGACCACGTCACGTGGTAGACTAGTACGGACAGATGGACGTACCGGATAGAGACATCGGAACGGTTTTCAAGGTGAAAACAACACCACCACCACCAACAACAACAACAACAACAACAACAACAACAACAACAACAACAACAACAACAACAACATATTTCCGGACAGAACGGTATTAAGCTTGACAACGACTAGAGGCGAGGCTCGCTGAAATCATTCCACGGAGAGGGGGGGAAGGGTACAGCACTAGTATGCAAAAGGTTAGACACGTGCGGTAGATATATGGCTACAAAAGCTCACGGTCGACAGAAAATTGTTCAGGCTCGGCAGCGGGGTGTAAACGATCGCTCGATGGATGCCCTCGACTTCACCAAGGTGCGGGTAAATTGATTTTAGTGCCCAATGCTCGTTCTCTAGGGAGTGTACTGTGCGTATGCGCCAACACAACCAACGGAGAGGGCATGGGCCTTCTGCTTTTATGTGTCTACTGATCTCGCTTTCCCGGCAAAAATATTCAAGATTCCCCTTGGGAAGTGCGCGAACGTCGCGAACAGAGTGACACCCTGACTCCATGAAATCCCGATCCTCTTTAGTTTGACTTGATACTCATGTCAGGAATCCGTGATCTTGCAAAAACACACTAGACTAGTGTTGGCGAAAAAACAAATCGCAAGAGAGCTCTGGTCTCAACGGGAGTACGTTCGTTCGGGACTGGCCCCGACGTTCGAAATGAACCCTTGTAGTGGTGCCCGTACGTGGCATCTTCTACAGCAGTACTCACATCTACGACGGTCCCGCTTGGCCTCTCCTTCCACGCGAAGTGCATCAGTTGGTCATCGGGCCCCTTGAACAGACTGATGGTTCCTTTGCGGAGGTCGGGGGTGATGTGGAACTTGTCTCCCCCCTTGTCGGAGACGTCCATCTTGCCGGCCTTGAAGCTCAGCAGAGGCTGCCGATCCGATCGATGGATCGATGGGATTGTTTTGATCCAAAGGAAAGAAGACATCGTCGAGTTCAGGGCGGGATACGTAGAGATCGAGCTTCCGAGTACAGACTGGCAATTCGACGCGCCAGCACAAAAAAAAATCCACTGGTCGTGAAGCTTGCTGACTTTTCTCTCATAACTGCCGCCGTATGTATAGTCAGGTACTGCTTTCTACGCAATAGTCCCAATGGCAGCATTTCTGACAGTCCCGAAATGCGGTGGAATGCCTTGCTGAGCAATCAACGAATCCTGAAAAGGCCGACAGGAGAAGCGATCGTGCACGGGGGATGCACGGAACACGCAGCACGCTCAGTTCCGCGTGAAAAGCCGCTGTATGCCGCACGTTGCACGTGTGGAATTTACTCCTTGCTGAACGGAAGAGGCTACTCGAGGGTTGTACCAGCAATCAACCACGTTCTCACAGACATGGGTTTCACGGGTTCCATTATCGAGGGTGGGGGGCGACGATAATACCAGAGAAGTAACGTGGGTCTGAGATCTGCCGAGATGCAAAAGTTTCATCAGTGACAGCAGCAGTTGCTTCCTGGACGGGACACGGGCAGACGGTATGTTAACATGGCTGGTCGACTGGGCTGTTGTTGACACCCCCCCCTGACTTGCTCTCTGGTTACTTGCCGATTTATTCCACCTGAAGATACCAGTGGAAGGACACACACAGGAGACGCAGATGCATTGCATGTACAAATCCCAGACTGAGGGACCATCCCGAGCAAGCACCAAACACACCAGCCACACTGCACCCTGTTGCTACTGCTGTGATACAAAAGAGATCACCAAGGCCCAGAGGCGGGCTACAAGAGCAAAAGAGAGTGCTCTACGCACTGGGAGCCGATAAGTTTCCAGCTCAAATATCACCCCTTGAAATGACACACAGGGACTTAGGGACGCCTGTGGAAGTAAGGTCCAGGTTAGTACTACCTTTCGCTACACTACTCCACCCAACTCACCGCCGATCCGCTTGCCGCCGGTGCTCCTGGCATAGCTCCGAACTGAGGGAACATCGCCATTATGATTCAAGTGGTCGTGTTTTTCTCGAGAGATCGCGGAGAATACGACGTGTGGGCTGTCTCTCTTGACGAAAGTGGCGGGCTCCCGTACCTTTCCAGCTGCCGACGAAACCTAGAGGCACTCAGTTTACACCTTGAGCACGTAGTTGAGCAGTTGCCGCGTTCAAGCAGTCCTTCTAGTCTCTTACAGACGCTGTGCAATACAGCACGAAGACACAGAACGACTTTGCGACCGGTTGGGGCTCCGCGTACTGATATGGGGCATACGCTTTTTTCCTTTCCACGGGGCACCTATACAGCAGTATATGCAAATGTTGCAAGCTGGCTCGAAAGCGCAACCGGCTGCCGGCTAGGAGGCACTCACTTGCTGAACCCAGCAGGTCACACGAGACTTGGGTCCAGGTCAAGATGGGATGTCCATGCAAACGAAGGCGTGGGGTTATTTCCAACGAGTCGGCCAGGGCTCCGAGGAAGTCAGCAACGGTGGCGCTTGTGTTGTTGCTGTGCCAAGCGCGAGGACTCGTCGTAGCCCCAGCTTTCTTCCCGCACAACGCCGCCGGCGGTAGCGCTCAGCACCGACACACAGCCGCACCGTTGATCCACGCACGTGCCAGCAGAATACGTCCAGGCGCGACGGGAGCGGTTGGAGCTTTCAGGCGGGGGCAATCAAGAGTGAGGCGAAGATCTAGGCTGGAGATGGCCAATCCGGAGGGCACCCAACAGCTGAGAGATCGCGACCTCGAGTTCATGTTCTACGACGAAGCTCAGGTACCCACAGCAGCAGCAGCAGTAGCAGTAGCCGTGTGGGGGAGAGCTACTACTGCCAAGGGGTACGGGATGGGCTGTAGCGCCCGCCAATCAAGCTTGGCTAAGGGCAGTTTTCCGATACCCACGCTTCGGGCTGCTCTGATATCGTTGCACTGCCGAGGTCCTGGAGCCTGCTGTGCTCGGCAGCAGTGCAACATTTGACACATGTGCAGCACTTCAGTACCTGCTACAATCACCGAAAGCTGCGGGGCCGTTGTTGGGCACTACTGCCGTGTCGGCATACACAAGTGTTGCACCACGTGATGGCTGTGCAGGCTGAGTGAGCGGTGCATCAGGTGGCGTACATGCGTTCTCCGAGTACCTTCATGTTGGAACGGAGGGGAAGATGCTATTAATACGGTACTGTATAAGCGGCAGGTGCATCAACAACCTTTTCGTCGCGGCTCTTCTTTGGCGGCGGTCCTCTTGTTGTGTGCACGGGTATATGCTTCCACTCACACAGACCCGCTTGTTGGCTTCGGCATACAAGTACATATTTCGTGGAAGTGGGGGAAGAAGCCACGCCCACCCGACATGTGAATATCCTATGCATACGAACCTAGTTTTGCTTACCTTGCTGTCCGATATCCCGCAAAATCCAAAACACCACTAGTCTACGCCTTTAGCTCACGAACCTGCAACCGCATGCTGTTATTTGTCCCCCGTCTGAAGTACAACGTCCTTCCCTCTTCGCCAAAGAAGTACAAGCAAATGGAACCAAGTCAACTGTTTACAGCCTTGTTTCGACACACAGCACCGCCGATGTCAGAGTGTCCGCCAACAAATATGTCACCGTCGACGTTTCGTGTGACAGGTGTATGTTAGGGGTGGAAGCGGGGGCGAGGGAGCGGCATCGTTCAAGGTCATGGCAAAGAAGCAGCGAGGGCAACCCAACGGAGGCTCGGGAGGCAAGGGCGGAGACGTATCACTGGTGAGAAGAAAGTTGGCCTGGTAACGCTGACCATCATCCCCACGCTTTGAGGTGGAGTTGCCGCTTGAGTTACTCGGCACTTGTGCACGTACAGCAGTCGTCCCGTGATTAAGGATAAGATCACTCCCCCGGTTAAGGACGCCTTGTTTTTCATATGCATGGTGCCCCGCAGAATGTACAACACTAGGGGGGGCATCAACCTTAAGGGCACTTTCCCGGCTTTAGGACCGCACCTGTTTTATCGAACAACCATGTGTGCTAGGACGACTGCATGTACTGGCTCGGGGGTGATTCCGTAGGCGTGCGATTGATAGCACGCCCCCTAGACAGACTTTCGTGCATCAATTTCCCCACAGCTGAGACGGCACCAAGGCTGACAAAGAGTCATATTGGAAATATGTCGTCGAGAGCTTTCCTGAGGCCTACCGGTAAAGTGTCGCATCCTCTTGTTGGAAGAGTAATCGAGCTCTGAAATTCGGTGAGCGATGGGTAGGGTGCCGCCACCATGAACAACTACAGTACTCCACAAGTGGTCGAATCCCTCTTTTTTGTGCAATCGTGCGTCATGTCCAACTTTCTGTGGCAATATATATATATATATCGTCAGATGGTGGGTTAGGGTTTCTTCAATTACCTCCAGCTCTGCGTACCCCTGTCCAAGCGCTATTTCCCTCCCGTCGCTTGAATGATGTCGCTGTCCATCTTGGTCTCATCACGCCGACGACTGCTGTGTGTGTGTGGCGTTGCTGGTGTGTGTGTGGGTTGGACAGGTGTGCGAGAGCAGCCTCAATACCCTGGTCAACTTGAGGGGTAAGATGAGCTTTGTGGCTGAAAAAGGCACGGCGGGGCAGCAGCGCCTCACCAACGGCAAGGATGGCGGCAGCATCGAGGTAAATGCACCAAGCTACTGCTCACCGGCAGGTGTACTATAGATGACACAGGAGACACACCCCCCGGGACCGATTTTCACATCTCTATTTCTTAGCAGCAGAAAGAGTCACAGCGCTGAAAACGGTGGCGTTAAGCTGTCTCGTCGAAAGCTTTCCGAAAATGTATTGTTTCATTTATGCATCCAATTCGTCGTGGCGAAATCGAGCTTTGAAAAATTGGTCCAGGGGGTGTGTTATCTTGTGTCATATACGGTATGCAGTACTCTGAGGTACGTCCTGATTCAAGTAGCATTGTCAAGAGATGGCGCCAGCATCGAGGTAAATGTACCAAGCTACTGCTGTACACCAGCAGGTGCATGCAGTACGCTCTGAGATACGTCTTGATTCAAGTAAAAGTGTCACGAGATGGCGCCAGTATCGTGGTAAATTTACCAAGCTACTGCTCACCAGCAGGTGTATGCAATGCTCTGAGATACGTCTTAATTCGGGTACCATTGTCAAGAGATGGCGTCAGTTTGGAGGTACGCGTACAAAGCCTACACCAACAGGTGTGCGCAATACTCTGAGAGTAATGGTACTTCTTTTTTGAATACTGGTATAACATTGTCAAAAGATGGCGGCAGAATCGAGGTGAGCGCACTAAGCTTTCCCCAGCAGGTGTGCACAATACTATTGAGAGTAATGATATTTCCTTTTGAATACTGGAATATCATTGCAAAAATACGGCGGCAGTATCGAGGTGAGCTTACCAAGCTTATACAACAGAACGCGCAACAATCTGAAAATGTATTTCAGCTTTGTTTCTTCTATGTTATGTCGGTTAGGATTAGGGTTTATCGTTGCTGTCGCCGTGTCCCCCGATATCGATCCGAATACGGAAGCAGTCAAATGCCAAAGGTGGAAGATGCCGCCGAACATCTTCCCAACCGGTGAACGAGTCTCGGGCTTGAATTGAACGCGTAGCTTACGCGAGTACACTTACCCTTGGAAGCCGATTACAAGCTCCACCGACCTGCTGGCGCTTCGCTTTCGTGGCGCTACTGCTTTGCGTCCACGGGTCTGCCTCCACTGCCCTTGGCACCCGATTCAAGTGTTCACCGGCCTACCTCTCTCTGGCGCTTCGCCTTTTCTCGCGCGTGTTTTCCTGTTTTTCAGATCCCGGTTCCTCCGGGTACGGTCGTGAAGGACAGGGATAATGGGGGCGTCGTCCTGGGCGAGCTGAGGGAGGGGGGCGAGCGGCTCGTGGTCGCGAAGGGGGGCTTCGGGGGGAGGGGTAACGCCGCGACTAAGGTACAGTATGGATACCACCACCACCGGTTGATATTGCTGGATACCATCAAGTTGAAATATCTGGATGCATACCACCGGCTGTTGCAGCTGATACAGCTGGAAAACACACGGCTGGGTATTTATCACCCCGCGGTCGTCGTTTGTTAGAAAGGACGCGCGCTCTGACTGACTGGTTGCCGAGCGTGTCGAGTAGAGATCGATCGCCGCCACCCTGGTCGTGTAAGGTTCCCTGGACCGTTGCTGACTGTTTTTTCTACCAATCTGTTTCGTGAAGAGCCGTCCATTTGGCGGGGTCTACCGTCGTTTTGCCCCCGCCGTCACCGAATACCCCACGGTGCTTCGCGCTTGGTCATGTGCTAGCCTCGTCTGGCAGCAACCCGTCGTGCTCCGTCCCGGCGCTTTGTAGGGGTGCGAGGTCAATGGTCTGACGACTACGGCATGCACGACTATGAGTACAACTCCCACCTCCTTTCGCCGGTGTGAACATGTCACCATGCTTCGAGCGTCGCACACCACAAACACCCATGGACCAGTCCTTCTTGGTTATTTTTTTGGCGTGCAAAACACGAGTGCTCTCCCCCCTCCCCCTCGTCTCGCCTCATTTCTGCGGTGTGAACATATCACCATCGAGTGTCGCACACAACTCACACCTATCAAGCCCGTCTTGTTTCCTTTTGTTAGTGCAGAACATGAGTATGCCCCCCCCCCCATTCTTGCCTCAGTTCGGCGGTGTGAACATGTACACCATGCGTCGAGCGTCCCACACCGCCCGATTTTTTCTTCTTGTTCCGTTTCTGTCCCCGGAAAACGTAGATCACGCGCGGTCAGGCGCCGAAGGCTTCGCCGCCGGGTGCCGGCGAGCGTCGGTGGCTCTCCCTCGAGCTGCGCCTGGTGGCGGATGTTGGCCTGGTGGGCGTGCCTAGCGCGGGGAAGAGCACCCTACTCGCGGCCTCCACTAACGCCAAGCCCAAGATCGCTGACTATCCGTTTACGACTCTCGTGCCCAACCTCGGTGCGAAGGCCCCGTTCAGTTGTGGCTGGCATACCTCGTCATATTTCAATGTTGTCCTGAGTTCGATCTCTCACACGCCAACAGCACTCAAATGTTGTTGAACACTGAGGTTTGTTTTAAACTAATTGGTACACGTTACACATTATAATAATTCTAGTCTGTGAGTCAGCGTACGGTGTTGGGCTACGGAAGAAGACCCTGTTCAGTTGCGGCTGGCATACCTCATCATTCTTCAATAAAGTACCTGAGTTCGGAATTGCTCACACGCCAGGTACTCAGTAATTGTTGAAGACTAAGATTTGTTTAACAATAGTTGGTGCATTTTTTTCAGAACATTTTCTCGTTCATGTATTCATTAAACTCTATCTAGTCTGTGATATGGTTTGATTATGTTGTGCCCTCTAACTAGAGGTGCATAGGAGGTGAGACTTGTTTACATCGAACCCGCTGCACACCAAAGAATCGTTTTTTCCGCACTTTTTTTTATTTCTTGCTGTCATGAAAACCACCAAAGTCTTGTTTGTTGGCATGCGCAAGATGATGCGATTCCGTTTAAACGCATCGCATACCGCATGAAGTCAGAGGTCCTTTTCGTGATGCCACTCTCCTTCGGGTCAATTGTATTTTAGCACACATTTTTTCGGGTAAGTCAGCCTGTGAACACGGTAATCGACCGCGTCAAGTGTTCGACTAGTACGGACAAGTGGAAGTACGGTAAAAGATATCGGAACGGTACTTAATGTGAAGGCAACAACAACAACAACAACAACAACAACAAAAACTCTCTTAAACCCCTTCTCTCCCAGGAGTGTGCGATCCGGAGGCGTTAGGGTTCAAGGGCAAGGGGATGGTCCTCGCCGACATCCCCGGGTTACTGGAGGGCGCCCACAAGGGCATAGGCTTGGGGCGCGCGTTCTTGCGGCACGTTGAGAGGTGAGCAAATTGATGAACTTTGCCTTGCACTTCGAATCAACATAATGCGAAGGGTGAGAGGTGAAATTTTGGATGGCAGTACACATGGAGCCCGCAGTCAATAAAAATTATGTTCGGTAAAAAAAAAAGGCTCAAAAATTTTTACGTTACGGGGAACAAGAAAAAAGGCCTCAGAAACACAGCCCGCTCACCACCACAACATACGAAAGGTCCCAGGTCCCAGGTCCCAGGTCCCAGGTCCCAGGTCCCAGGAAGAAACATAATGGTGCGATACTGCTGCTGCTGCTGCTGCTGCTGCTGCTGCTGCTGCTGCTGCTGCTGCTGCTGCTGCTGCTGCTGCTGCTGCTGCTGTCATGCTCCCACCCCCTACCTAGCTCATGTCATGCAATTGTTTTGAAGGGGCAGAGAGGGGCTATTTTCGCGACGCCGCCCGCGCCCCAGCGCCGCCGCGGGCTGCGCTACCGACTGCTGCTGTATTTCTGTACTTCCAAAACCCCCAATGTTCGCCACACCAAGCTGTCGATTTGATGCTCATGAAGGCTTGGTGGTTGGTTGTTGTTTTCTTCGCCATCAGAAATAAGAAAATGAGGGAATCGGCAGGATGCGACAGCCCAAAGGAATAAGAAGCCCATTTCAAGAAATTGATCGATTTTGGCTGGTCCTTATGGCCAGGATATGAGGTTGAGGTTCAACCCGATTTTGACCTTTTTATCTCCGGGCCATATCTGTCGTGTATGAAGTAGAGGAGGTGCTCCGAGTGTGAGATTCGGTATGGACGGATGGTTGAGAGTTGAACGATTGACTGAAGTTTGGATTGCACCAACACAACATGAACGTTGAGAGGTGAACAACTGGATGAAATTTGGCTTACATCAACACAAACATTGGGTGATGCTGCGAGTGTGAGATTCAGCGGGGATGAACGGTTGCGTGTGGCGCTGGCATTAGGCAATGGTGTGGCCGTGGCCTCCCCGTGCTCTTGCTGAGCACGGCGTCGCCGTCAACCTGCAGCACCACGGGACTCGCCATGATTCTGTGCCCAAACGCTCGTGAGCACGCATGCCACCACCTACGGCGTGTGTACCTCTAGTATACCACGATGCGCCAGGGAAGGATTTGTTTTTCTTGGATTAGCATCAACCGCGCGAACCGGCTGACCATTTAAGAGGCGGCAGCCATATTGCTGGAGCCATATCGCTGGATAAGAACAACTTTTGCAAACAGAGGGTTTTACCCTACGGACGCAGCGCACGTTGTATGTGTGGGTGTCATCTTCTTTGTTTGGACGATGCAGGTTGCACCTTTTCGACCCTACCGTATATGTCGGAGAGATGGCACTCAGGGGTAAACGTTTTATTTCAGCGCTTTTTCTCCGCAACCAGGGGGTTGCCACTGCCGAAAAGGTTATGTAGTTTTGGAAGCATGTCGTTGAGGGCTTTCCTGAGAGGTGCCGGGTGGTGTCCGCACCCTCCTAGTAGTGAAGTACATGTCAAAACCCTGACACGGGGGACATCTCTCCGACTCCTACGGTATGTTGTTTGGACTCACCATCACCAAGGAGAGATCGCACCGCCGTAAATCTGCGGGATGGGACACGTGCTTCCCGTTTCTCCACCCCTCCGACAACCTCTTCATGAACCACCAAGTAAACGCGTTGGGTGGGCTTTCAAACACGAAGATTTGCGTTTTCTCAACCCCGTCGACTCACTCTTTTTGAATCTCCATGCGTTTGGTATGGTTTCAAACACCGAGATTATCGTTTTCTCAACCGCCTCGACTTACTCTTTATGAATCACCGCGTCAATGCGTTCTGGGTGGGGTTGCAACAATCCAATGGCGCTACGCAACAGGTGTCGCGCCATCATCCACATCGTGAGCGGAGCTTCGCCGGACCCCGTGGGAGACTTCCGAGCGATCAATCAGGAGCTGGCGCTGTTTTCCGAGGCATTAGCCGTGAAACCACAGGTAAAGGTTAAGGTTGTAGCAGAATCTGGTGCGTACAGTCGTCGCCTGGTCTTGTCGGACACGTGCTTGTCACTCTCATGAGTTGTGCTTAGTTTGTTGTTTCATCGAGGTGCTGGGGACGACCCATCTTAACAGCGGTTTTGGCTTTGGGCTCGGGGTGTTCCATTTGGTAAGTAGCGGTACCGTTTTTTCCCCTTGTACCTGGTTTTGTGCGATAGCCATGGGTCTGAACTTGTGATGCCAGCCTCTGTTTGACCCTTGATTTTCCATAGATATGGCTCACGTGCTTTGTGAAACCCTGTCTATCCTGGAACATCAACAACTGAACTGCCTGTCGCTGTTCTTTTGCCTTGTTTCTGCGTACATGTCAGCAGCCTCTGTTTTTTTCATATGGCCCAAGAGTCTTGGTGTGAAACCTGTTTTTCCTTAACCATAAACTGAAATATGTCGTCCCTGTTCGTCCGCCTTTTCTTTCTTTTTTCGTGCGGAAACAAAGCAAATGTTCGTCCCTATCCACACACCAGAGCCCAGGATAACCAGTAATTTGTTCCGTTCAGGTAGCGTTTCTGACTTACCTGTGCTTGTATTTTCTCCGAGCAGCGCACGGTGATATTTGCTTGTTCGTGTTTTTTTTTTTTTTTGCTTCTCTTGTAGGTTGTTGTGCTGAACAAGATCGATCTTCCGGAGGTTGAAGACCGTCGGGAGGAGCTGGAGACCGCCCTCAAGGAGCACATGGGACACACCAGGTGCAGCAGCTGTTTTCCCTCCCCTCCCTCCCCCAACTTCGGTGTTTGCATCGGGGTTGGGTTTTCGTCGCTTGGCAACGACGTTGTAAAACAAGCCGCCCCCCCCCGGTGTTTGCCATCGGGGTTGGGTTTTCGTCGCTTGGCAACGACGTTGTAAAACAAGCCGCCCCCCCCGGTTGTTTGCCATCGGGGTTGGGTTTTCGTCGCTTGGCAACGACGTTGTAAAACAAGCCGCCCCCCCC